TCTTCATAGTCTGTCTTCGTGTAGAAGCTCATCTGAAACCTGTCCACAGTGGGTAAACCTGCTGGTATTTAAAATACCAGTGGCATAGCTTCCAGAATCACAATGACTATGTAGGAAAAATACTTGGCATTCTGTTTCAGTAGAGATTGTTGTCGTTGTTAAGTGCCATTGAGTCAACCCTTGGTGACACTGTATAGGGTTTTTGAGGAGTGGCTGATGTGTTTCAACTGCAGACCTTGCAATTCAAACAACCTTGCGGTCCAGTGCTTTTGCCTACAGCGCCACACCTGGAGTTTCTTAGAGAATTACAGCCAAGAAAAACCCTACAAGGCACTTCTCTTCTGTCATATGGGGTCACTATGAGTTGAAATTTAATCAGTGTCACGTAATAATAACAGCTCCTTCCTTTGTTCCAACTTTGCCACCTAGTATCCGCGATTTCAACTAGGTCCTCTCATCCTGTCTTTTGTAGTATGACAGGAAAACAATTACGTACGTTTCTTACCACGTTTTGTTATTTGGCCTCATTTAATTGCAATGGCAGGCTTTCAGGATTGAGCAAGAACATGGTTCTTTTCTCCTTTGACAAATGAGATTGCTAAAGCGAAAGAAATGTACCTACTAGCTGTTTTAGTACACACACAAAGTACAACTTGAAGCAATCTTTCTATATTTCCACTGGTACATGTCTATTCTGTATTTTCAAGAACATTTAGGCCTACTGAGGGGAGGAACCATTTCTTTATTATTTTGTTAAATGACCAGTACTTGGCCAATGGCATTGTAGGGGCCTCATACACATGGTTTTATTTTCTGTATTAGCAAAAGGAGAAAGAATACATTACTGTTAAGTACCATCGAGTTAGTTCTGACTCATAACGACCCTGTATAGAGTTTCCAAGGAGAAGCTGTTGGGTTTGAACCACTGACCCTGTGGTTAGCAGTTCAATGCTTATCCTACCGTACCACACCCGGACTCCTGATTAAATTGTGTTGCTGCTGTTGTGTGTTGCCAAGTTGGTTCCGACTCATAGCAACCCTGTATAGTGTTTCTAAGGCTGTAACTTTATGAGATCAGAAAGCCTCATCTTTCTCCCGTGCAACAGCTGGTGGATTTGAACTGCTGACCTTGAGGTTAACAGCCTAACAAGTAACAGATTATACTGTAGGAGAGATTAATAAATCTTGGAATATTTAAGCAGAGAAATCGTACTAGTCCCAGTTCTGTCTCAATGAACAATTGAGTTTGAAGGGTCCCTTTGCATCTTGTTGTTGTTGTTGTTAAGTGCATCTTGTAGACTCTGTTATTTCAGCTCTAAAATGAATTGTTTGGCCTAGATGAACACCAAGATTTGTTTTCCCTAAGGGGACTTCAAAGAGTTCATGGAAAAAGTGGAATGAAAAGAGAATGGAATTCGCCACAAACTTTGTGAAGCTTCCACAGAATTAATTTCAAATGTAGCATTTACATTTATTAAATGATGGTTCTCTTTTACGTAGCAATACTTATCTGTTCCTCCTTTGTCAAAATTGGCCTGGCATTAATTTTGGAACAATCAAGTGCACTGGAATGGGGAGAAAGACTAGCGTTTACAGAGTAGCACACAGTAAGCTAGGCATTACTGGGTAGAGCACTCTTCTAAGAACGATATGCTTCCTTAAAAAAAAAAAAAAATGGGGCCAGAAAGCCAGTGGTTGTCCAAATCCAATTGAGTTGTTCCTCCTGGAAGTTTCCATTCTTTGTAGAGGTTTTTAGCCCTTGAGCTGTAATGAATTTGCTAGTGGGAGACATTCCTCATGCCTTTGTTATCTGTTTGCATTTTTAGGACTACAGTAGTAGCGGCAGCTGCTTTCCTGGACGCCTTTCAAAAAGTGGCAGATATGGCTACCAACACACGTGGTAAGCAGATGGAGGGATGACTCCCAGCGTTTGGCTGAATTCAGCGTGTGGGCTCTTCCCCTGGGCGGCTCATAAACTAGGGCTTCTGTTGTCAGAGTTAGCTGACACATATTTTTATTTTCTAACTCTGTGGAATTCCACATAGGAGATGTTGCACAAGGTTCTCTAGGTAACAAAGCCCCTGCAACCAAGGATAATGGCATCCAAAGGAAAGGAACCACTGTTTCTGCTGGAGGCGACGCAATAGGTTTAGTGATTATTTTTCTAAAAGTTTCCCATTTCATGGGTTTTACTTCTAATATAAGGTAACAGACATTTTTAGGTCTTTATCTAGAATTACATCTCCAAATAAAGATATTAAGAGGAATTTCAAATATTTTTAGTAGCTCTTTTGACAACTTTTTTTTAAAATTAAGGGCTTTGAACACGTCCAATGACATTGGCTGCAGAGCCCTAAACATTTCCGTTTGATTGCAGGTTGTTTTTTCCTTGTTCCTCTATGGAATATGGAGTTGTTGTTGTTAGGTGCCATTGAGTTGGTAGTGACTCACATAGCGATCTGATGCACAACAGAACGAAACACTGCCCGATCCTGGGCCAACCTCACAATTGTTGCCATGCTTGAGTCCATCGGTGCTGCCACTTGGCCAATCCATCTCATTGGGGATCTTCCTCTTTTTCTCTGACCCTCCACCTTACAAAACATGATATCCTTCTCCAGCAACTGGCCCCTCCTGACAGTATGTCCGAAATATGAGAGATATAGTTTGGCCATCTGGCCTCCAAGGAGCACTCTGGCTGTACTTCTTCCAACACAGATCTGTTGGTTCTTTTGACACCTTAGTCCTCAAGCTGACAGAGTAGCAGGAGATAATTCGATAGACCGTTTTTCTGGGATCCCATAAAATGAGGAACCCTTTGATAACAAGTGCAGTATCCCAATGTGTTCTGTCTACTACTTTTGTGCCTCCCACATTTGACACCAGTCCCATGAGGGGACATGTGACTTCTTTATTAACTGACTCAATGGCACTTAACAACAACAACAACAACAACAAAAAAATCTAGTGCCTTAAACATGGTAGATCTCTAAAGTGTGCTTAATAAATAAATGTACAAAGGCAAGTGTTTTGAAAATGTTCAATGGTTTCAGTGAATCCAGACTCACAGAAGAATGTTCTTGCATGTGAAAGGTATGAAGAAGAAAAGGAACACTCCTAGATCCACCGCCATCTTTAAAAACATGACCTTTACCATTGACTTTCAGGCTGCTGTTCCAAGGGGGATGTCTTCCTTTTCATTCTAAAGCAGAGACTCTCTCCTGCTTCTGACTTGGTCTTATTTTTCCAGATTTCCTGATTGTATTGCCAGCTACATGCCTGTATTCTTCATTGCTATGGTGACATTGAGGAATGGAGTTGGGGGCAGGGTGAGAGTTGCTCTCCTAGTAACATGAGAATTTCGCTTCTCTGAATTGTTTGAAAGGGCACTGTTGGTGGGTTTCCCGAGGCTCACAGTAGCTACAGGTGGTCAGTGAAACACCAGTGACTCTGCAGTCAGGATACTTCTCATTCACTTGTAGAATGTATCACCTCCAAACACTACTCATATTTGTTGGCCACCACAAGTTATGGGTTCTTCTCCCACAAATAATTGCTGTGTTTTTCCTCCCTTCAATCCATGATAGTTTCCGGACCCACAAGGAACATGTTCCTTATTTAAAAAATAAAAAATTCGAGTAATGAAGTAGGACCCGACCCTACCTATCCCAGCCACACCCTCAGGGCTTGGCTCAAGAAACTCTGAAGCTACTTTTATTTCAGGCACTGTGTTGGGACCGCAAAAATGACTACCTTACTTTCTTGGCCCTGGAGGAGCTTGCGACTGAGGAGGAAACAAGATGCTTAAATAAAGAATTCCAATATGTAACTAATGTGTGTGCTGTGGTAATAGAGGAAGAACAGAGTGCTGGGGGATGTAGAAGAATGAGCAATGAAGTCGGCCTTGGGGGGAGTCAGGGAAGTTCTCCCAGGAGAGGTAATATTTTTCCTCATTTCCAAGATGCCAGCAGTGTACCAGAAGGTTCCTTTAGACAATGTAATGGTGATATCAGAGCTGTTTCTGCTATATCCAGTTTATCAACTGTGTGCGCCTTAGCCAGCAACTTTCTTTAAACCCTTTATTTTTCTGATGGCCGCATAGTTTAGCTGATACAGTGAAGTCTGTGAGAGCCTGAGACTGCCTTGTTTTTCCAGTTCTTGAATTTTTTCCCCTCTTTTCAGGATAGAATCTTAAAAAAAAAAAACACCACAAAAACAAAACTTGTTATTGTGGCTTGGGTGAAAGATTACAGAACAAATTAGTTTTCCATTCAACTGTTGTACACATTTTGTTTCGTGACTTTAATTGCGATCCCTACACTATAACCGCAGCTTTCTAGCTTCTTCCCTGGCTTCCCTGGTATCATGCTCCTTCCTGCCTGCTGAGCTTTATTTTTGGGTACATGTTGCCCTTTTGGTTCTGTTGGGTGATTGTGCTGAGGGATACAGTTCTTCTGATTCCTCCCTGGTGCTATTGTTCGCCTGGTGATCGTTTGGCTGAAACTGGCTCCCCTTAAACTTGGAGGATGTCTAAGGGCCATAGTCTCAGAGATTCCACCAAGCTCTAGAAGACCATCAACTCTGGTCCTTTTATAACGTTGAATTTTGTTAGACTCTTTTTGGCCTCCCATTCTGTCCAGGACCTTCTATTGTGATTCCAATCAGCGCAGTCAGTAGTGGTGGTTGGGCACCATCTGCTACTTCTGGTCTCATTTATGACAGCTGTGGTTTGCTTGTGTGTCTTACCACCTTTCTTTTGTTCATTGTAGTGGAAAATATTGGAACCTTCTTTCGTTGATGGGTTTCCACAGGTACCAACTTACACAGACTTTATATGTTCATCAAAGAAATTTTAGAAAATTTAAGCAGAAAGACAAACGTGGTATTCAAGAAAATGATCACCACTGCTAGTCCTTTCAGATCTATTTTATAGCATTTTCTTCCACTTTCACTGTATCTGAAACTGAACTTGTTAATCATATCAATGTGTATCTGTAATAACAGTCTATTGCTGTTGGATCCATTTCCACCTCATAGTGACCCTATGAAGC